GTTCGCCCAACGATTTCTCCATCTCCCATATCTGTCCCAGTTCGCTCAGAGAGTTCTCCATCTCCAATATCTTGGGCAGAGATTTCTGGATCTTCGATATCTTACCCCGAGAGCTCATCCTGGAGTGATGCCATCGTCGAGACATGGTCTTGACTGGAGGCTGCTGCGGCCATATCTTGAATGAATGCTAAATTGAGGCAAACGGGAATTTAGGGGTTGGTTGTGGGTATGAAATATAAGCTAAAGCCTGGAATTAATTCAATTGATCAATATGCTCTTTCATTCATCCGTAAACTCATGTATTCAAATATGGCCTAATTAATCTTGATAGGAGCAGGAAACTTTTTTAAAAAAATATATTTTTATTTTAAGGAACAAGCAGGAAACTTTTATTAAATATTATTTTTATGAAGGAAGAAACAGGAACCTTTTTTATTTTTAGCCAAATAAAATACGGGAAACTTTTCTTTTCTTTTTTTTTTTCTTTTTTTTTTTTTTTTTTTGAGAGAAACAGGAACTTACTTTTCTATTTTAGTAGGTGTAGGTGTATGACCGCTTTACTCTATTTGGTTTCCCGTTTTAAAATTCCTAGTGTTACCCGTTGTTTTACTTGTTACCCTTTTTATGGTTTTTTTGGGGTTTACTGGTGAGATTGGGTTTTAGGGCCAATTTGAAAGAAAATGCACATGCCCGATATTCAAAGAAAATGCAGGATTTCATAGACTTCAGGGACACTCTGCAGGATCTGCTGGCACCTGATTTTACTAATTGGCCTGAGCGTGATACTTTTCTTCAATGTTTTTGACGATGCTGCCAATTAAACTTAAGGTGAGTTCTTTTGAACATTATTTTTTGGGTGAAATATTGTTGTTGTTTGTGTGTTTTTTGTGTTTTTTTTTTTTTTTCCCTTTTATATAGACTATGTTGAAATTGAAGAAACCACCCCTTTTTATTGACTCCTCGTGGAAGGTTGAAATATGTTCCAAGTATTTATAATGATAATCATCTATTTACTATAAACCAGGAGTTGAACAACGGTGATGAATTTCAGATTTCTATGATTGGTACGAAGACAAAGACAAGGATAACTGGGCTAAGTTTTTGTGTGATATATTTGAGTCTGAAATCAGTATCTCATATGATCGTCGCCCGTCGCAGCTTTTAAGATTCATGCGAAACTCTATGAACATTATAGGAAATATACTAAGACGAAAACTATTGAGAATGTGGACGAAATTCTTAGGACACACTGGAAGGGTTTTATTGATCGTGTTCATCTGATCATAAGATTGAAGCTTGGGTGGATGAGAGGGATGTTGTTCGTGATCATAGCGTATAACTACTTGCTCAGACTATTACAACTAACATCAATTTGTACAGATATTTTAATGTGTAGTAGTTTTTTTTTTTTTTTTTTTTTTTTTTTTTTTCTTCTTTCCTTTGGGGTCATGATTACTTTATTTATCTATAATTGTTCTTAAAATAAAGCGGCATAATATATGTTTTCTTTGGTAAGAATGCATGAAGCATGTATAAATAATCGTGTTGCTTTGCTTATTATAGAACCCCAAATTTAAAACCATAGAGAAAAGATTGACGTGCCGCACACTGTCCACTCCTCCTCCTCCTCCTTTCTCATTCCTCTTCCTTTCCACTTAAAAATTATTTTTTCCAAATTATTTTTTAATTAAACTTCAATTAAAATTTTATTTTTTTACTTGAAAATTAATAATATTGAACTTCAATAAAAATAAATCTAAAAGCTAGAAAAAGAGAGTGTTTTGAAATTGAACTAGATAAATATTAGTTATGAGATTAAAAATATAGCATTGAATATAAATAAATATTGAAATTATATATTTTTTAATTTGACCGGTTCGGTTCGGCCCGGTCCATTTTTGAAGACATAGAACTGGATCCAAAACCAGTCCAAACTGGTTCGGTTCTGTTTTTGACCAATTGTTGACTTTTTGGTCAACTCGGTTTTTTCCCCTTTTTTCGGTGCAGTTCAGCTCGAATTTCTGGTTTTGCGGGTTTGAATGCCTACCCCTACTATATTGATCTCCCCTAGATGTCTAATACCAGGAATGCATCGTGGGAAGGTGTGTCGGTTGAAGAAGTCATTGTATGAATTAAAACAATCTCCTAGAGCTTAGTTTGGAAGATTCACGAAGTCTAAGATATCTTTTGGCTATTGTTAAAGCAACTCATATCACACCTTGTTTTTCAAGAGACATCATGGTAAGATCACTGCACTTATTGTATACATGGATGATATGGTGGTTACAGGGAATGATATTAGATATATGCCCTAGAAGCCAATATAAAATGAATAATTCTAAGGAAATAATATATAATAGTAAAAAAGCAAGAACATTGCTTTAAATACATAACATACACAAAGTAACAAGTCCATGGATTAAGATATAAATGGAAAGTGGTCTAAAGAAGTTAGATGCACGAGACCTTTCCATACATATAAATATCATATCCTAAAATGTTCCTGGTCATAGGATCACCAATTGGACAATGGTGACCTACAAAGATTGGTACACATTATGTCTGCTTAATTGGGAGGATGACTAGTCTCAAGTCATTCGTGTAGAGACACTGAGACAGATGTGTAGGGGCTCTATAGAATATAGAGTCCACTGAGCGCGATCAACTCTAGAATTCTTGTTGTCTACTCATTCTTTCATCCCATGCAATTCTTGATGAAAAGCTTTAGGGAGGTGCATGTCTTTGTACCCATTTGGAGAGCTACGAGGTGGAGAATCAACATCAAAGGGAGAACCAACAACAAAGAGACCACTCCCTCTACTTGAACACCATTCTTGGTTTCAACATTCGCTCCAAGGATATGAACATCTTATCTTTCTCTCAAATAGGATTTAGAGAGTCTTTGGTGCACACTTTCATAGACTTATAAATATTGGGACCAAATGAGACTTGCATGAATCCGTAGTTTATTTAATGCTTCTACTCTTACTTTGATTTCATACTAGATGTGGCGTGCTAGGTGATTTATACTCTCAAAGTTTGGTTGTAGAGTTTTTAGAAATCTCTACACAACACCATTCCCACAATATTCCCTTTAAATGATCCAGAAGAAAGGAAGGCACTGCAAAGTCATTTATCTATTGAGTTTGAAATGAAAGATCTTGGTTCTTTAACATATTTTCTTAGGATTGAAGTATCTCGGTTTGTGAAATGAATTTTTCTTTGCCAACAAAAGTATGCCTTATATTTGTTGGGAGAAACTTGTCACACTGCCCGGGATCGGCTCAGCCGTAGCGCGATATTGTCCGCTTTTGGCCCCTCTCTTTGCCCTCACGTTTTTGTTTCTGGGAGCTCACGAGCAACTTCCCAATGGGTCACCTATCCTGGGATTGCTCTAGCCCCAAGTCACTTAACTTCGGAGTTTCCATGACTCCGAAACCAGTGAGCTCCCAAAAGCCTCGTGCTAGATGGAAATGTGCTAGATGACAACACAAGGATTACAACAGCACCAAACTTGACCTTGCCACCCTTGCCCACGCGCCGGCAGCGCTTGGGTGTGTAGAGTAATTTTTGGCAACGGAAAATACTCCACAACACCATTCACCCTTCCTATCCTAGATACTTCTTGAGGAAAGGATCATTTTATTCAACTACATGAGGTCTAATTTGGACGGCAACCGGCCCGGATTTCACTTTGAAATCTGGCGAAAACCTAGATTTCGAAATCGGGATTCTAGACAACAAATCGATCCTTACCTATGCAACAGAAAGCTAGAGCTCAGAAAATAGATGAGAAACCATGCCTTACTCGTCGGAATTGGTGGCCGGAGGAGAGAGATCGAGCGGTGAGAAATTCTGTCAAAACCGGCTTGTTTTCGATTGATTCCGGCAAGCACAGTGGACGGTGGTGGCTGAGACTGTTTGGGAAAGGACGAGGGAGAGGTGGCGGTTCGAACGAGACCGGTCTCGAGGCAGGTCGTTGACTGTTGCAACGGCGGTAGTCTTAGAGGGTGGCAGCTGTGAGAAAAACGAATGAAGGGAGAGAGATCGAGTCGGGCAGAGAGATCGAGTCAGGGAGAGAGAAAGAAGAGAGAGCGTGGAGAGAGAGATAGAAAGTGAAAAATCCCTAATTCTTTTCAAAATAATTACAAGTTTACCACTGAACTTATTTTGGTCACCAAATCTTCGTTACAACTTCGATTCAAGCCTACCACATGTCTACGGATTCGTCTCAGCACGACTAAACCAAAATTCTAGTAACTGCCCCAAACTCTTCCCGAATAAGAAAATGACCAAAATACCCATACCCCAAGGGTAAATTCGAAATTTTACTTAAATAATTTAAATAGGAATTAAATTTGGAGTCGGGGTGTTACATAACTTGGCATGTCAGTGTGTCAACCAGCTGATTCTCTAGTGGAGGAAGGATTGAAGTTGTGTATTGATCCTCATCAAGTGCTTGTTGATAAAGGAAGATACCCAAGACTTGTAGGGAGATTAATGTACTTGGCACACACAAGGTCGGACCTTACCTATGATTTGAGTATTGTTAGCCAGTTTATGCATAATCCTGGAGAACAAGTGCAGTAATGCGAATTTTGAGGTATTTGAAGTCTTCTCCTGGAAAAGGAATTATGTTTTCCAAGAGTGATGATCATCACAAAGTTGAAGCGTATACTGATGCTGATTGAGTTGGTTCAATAGATGACAGACGATCCACTTCTAGGTACTTCACCTTTGTAGGTGGTAATCTTGTTACATGGAGAAGTAAGAAGCATAATGTTGTTACAAGCTCAAGTGCAAAAGCCGAGGCATGGGACTTGGGAATTGTGAAGTGTTATGCTAAGACAACTCTTGCAAGATTTGGAGTATTCGTCGAGACTGCTGATTCAATTGTATTGTGACAACAAGGCCGCGTGTGATATCGCTCACAATCCAATTCAACATGACATAACAAAACACGTGAAGGTTGAAAATTTTTTGATCAAGGAGAAATTGGAAGCAAAGATTATAGAATTGCCCAAGATTCGATCAGAGGATCAACTGGCTGATGTCCTTACCAAAACAGTATCAAATCAATTGTTTTCAAAATTTGTTAGCGAGTTGGGCATGTGTGACATCTATATATGCACCAACTCGGGGGAGTGTTGCGATAATTATGTAATTGATAGAGAATTAGGAAAAAGTCTAACTTACCTTATTTATCTTCCTGTAATTATGGTATTAGTAGGGTTGTATATATGCCTTATTGATGAATGAGAAAAGGTAGGACAGATTATTCCCAAAACTCTGAATTTCAACTAACAGTAAGGTTTTGAACCCCAAAAGGCAACCTTATCAATTCAGCTTGCTAGCTTTTTGATCATGTAGAAAATACAGAGCCTTGAATTGAATGCATTTGCAAATACCTAAACTACGTTATAAGAATATATCATGAGTTATCACACCTAATTCATTTCACCATCACCCATCATCTTCTTTTAATCCCACTTTTTACATAATTAAAAAAAAAGTGGTCTTGATATTCTACAAGTCCCCCATAATCAAACATCTCAAAATAAAAGAAGGAAAACAAACAACATTGCTTAAAGAGAAGGAAAGACATTGGGAATATGTACAAACGTTTTACACAGCATCTAAAGCTCCTATTCAAGCATTTTCTGATTCCTTAAGGTTTGTGCATCCCATATCGCTTGTGGTTCGTATTACATACAATTAATAAAGGAAGATAAGTAAAGATTGTGGATTATAAACATTCTCAATGGATTTCTTAAACTATCTTTTTAGATAAAATTTAGGGGAGGAAGGACATATTTACGTATCAGTAATGGGTATGGGAGAAAAGGGAATGATTTCCATTCCTGACTTCTCTTGCGTTTACTTGTAATCAGGAATTAAAAAATAAGTGGGCCCCACCTCAAAATCCGTAATCACATTCCCTCAAAACTAGTTATCAGATCAACTAAGGAGGAGTAGTCGATACAATTCTCATTCCTATTTTCTTTTAATAACTCCCTAAACTAGAGAGACTAGAGAGTATGATTGAAGTTGAAAATTATAGAGAGCTCCTAAACTGGCTTTTGTGTGTTTTGGCTAAATTTTAACTAAAAATAGAGAGCATGGTTGTAGATACTCTAAGATATTAAAAGTTATTTGACATGTTGAAAAGAAATATAAGATCAAATAGTTATTAATTGTAGACTTTATATCACAAATTTGTCCCTGAGGTTCGTATATAAATGATTACAATTTACACAAGACTAAATGATTACGAAACCACTATGATGATTATTAAACCAACTTTGCTTGGAATATATCCCATCTCTTGGCAGTATGATAGAGCCAAAATGTGGGATGTGATAAAAAATGGTTTTAATCCTATAAAAATTAGGCATAGTTATTAGATACACGAGGAACATCCACATCAAACAGATTCATGGTGTAGATAGTCTCGCCTACAACTACGGCTCTCCCTCGGAAAGAAGTATAATCATGAGTGTCAACTTCCACTTTATTCCAATTCTCTTTACCCGGGTGAAAAGCAACGACATCGGAGCTTTGGCGTCCGTCAAACAGTGCCTACAAAATAATGCCATAACAAACAGCATATCCAGTTACCAACCTAAAAGGATAACGTCATGGAAACTCTGGCATTTGCTCCCAATTTTTCTTATTGGGATTGTATTTCGCAAAAGATGGAAGACGATCTGTTACAAAGCGCAATGCATCTTCAAGAAAATAAAGTCTGTCATAAGCGGACACAACTGTTCCACTCGGCTTAAACTCTAAGGTAGTAGTTATGGAGGGATCTAATAATGTCTTACTTTTTGTATCAAATGACCTAAGGCAAAGTTTATCGCAACCATCCTTTGTAAATACATATAGTTGGGAGCGGTTGAAAATCCTTGCAGCGGTATTAAAACGACTGAACTTGACTAGAGGTTCAAGTGCTGCTCCTCCGCCCATATCATCAACTTCTCCCCCGTATTTGAATTTAACTTCATACAAGGCTCCTGTGCTTTCCGTATTGTACGTCATCACTAAAAACACAGATCTATGTGCCCCCAATTTACTGTCATTGATGCATGCTCCTCCATGGGCAAACTGGACAGAGAACAGAGATATATAGAATAAGTCAAGCTAATCTTTTCAGACAAGTCGAAAAAGTTTATAAAATAAAAAACAACGGCGAATCAGGAAAAACAACAATTAAGCTGTGTACTGAACTTCGTTTGAAACCTTATTTGCTTGTGCTGCGTCACCTACCGGCGCGTAGTAGGTGAAGCTCCTCTCATATCGATTTCTTCAAATCGACCAGTTGGATTTGTTGGGTGGAAAGCGCGGCTAGTGATTTCTCGATCTCTGATATCTTGCCCAGGAGCTCATCTTCAAGGGAAGCCATCGTCAAGTCATGGTCCTGAACATCTTGACCCGAGGTGAGCACAGCAGCAATGGAAGGTTGAGATATTTTCCGATCCCCCATGATACCAAATAATTGTTAGGGCCTTTCCTATTGAAATGCTAAATTGAGGCACAAGGGAATTTAATATGATATGAGGAAAGTTTCGAACTCATATAAAATATACGACACAGCACATAAAAATTGGTTACGGGTTATATTGTGCCCAAAGAATTGACTTCCCATTTCAATCCAGAATAGTTTGGCTAAGTATTGATTTCTTTATTCTTTTTAGATTCCCTTTTAAAACTATCTACCAATAATATCAGAATTTGTCAGTGTTACTTGTTTTATCATGCGATGTTTTATAATATTTGAGTTTGTTATTTGTTTTATGAGATTGGAATTAGTACATGAATTATATACATTCCTAGCCTTATTCTTTTTACTAACTACACAGAATTTGTACAAGAATAGGAATTGTAAAGTTGTAAGGTTATTTTTGAAAGACAGTAAGGGAGAACTTAAGTAAGAATTGGATCAACTACCCCTCACTAATTGATCAAATTCCTAATTTTGAGAGTATATAATTACGGAATTTAAAATGGGACTTAATTATAGATATGAAGAAGTCAAGAATTGTAATTATTCCCTTTCTTTTCCTACCGATTGAGGGTAAGTAAGTAAGCATGCCCTTCTTACCGAATTTTTTTTTAAAAAATGGAACCAAACCGGAGAAAAACCGCCAACGTTTATTCGCTAGTGGTGTGGTGGTAAGAGATCATGGTTGGTTAGCAGGCGCATGATAGCACCGAAAGTTGCAGCGAATTGGAATTGGGAAAGATAAGGCTTAACGTGCGTAGGGAATCGACGACATCAAAGCTGAGGGAAAATCCAATTTAATGTATAAAAAGAAAGACCGTGTCCAACTTTCTACTTTTGCTGGTGTTTCCAAACTGTAACCACCACTTTCCACTTTACAAGCAAACAAACAACAACAATCACTCCCACTCGGATTCAGTCAGCCTTCCCATAAAAAGAACAATATCTCAATTCTCTCTCTCACTCTAACACGCGCACACAACACAACACAACGCAACGCAACATTCTCTCTCTCTCTCTCTCTCTCACACACACTTGGCTGCCAATCAAAATCATCACCAACCCCACTTTGTATATGCTTGGATGCGTAAGGCTTCCTGGTGAACCACACCGACTTTATTCACAATGCTTGTCCCTTTCCATATCATATACATATAAGACTAAATTGTTTGGTCCAAATCTCTCTGCTTTTCTTCCTCCCCAGAATTTTCCAGCCCAAGTTGTTGTTATTTCCCAGAGAAGAAAAAAAGCCTTTCATATTCGACCTGCTTCAACCCTTTTTAATTTGTGGATGGTATCTTCACCATCCATCATTCATCAACTGAGTTTTGAGTTTAAGGTACCTCCAGGTTCTATTATTTATTACTCTTCTTTTATGTTATATTCCTTTTTTTTTTCTTTCTTTTTCTTTTTTGGTAATAATTATTATGTGGGTCCTGGTTACAAAAACTCAGTAGTAGTTGATGATGCCTGTATCTCAAGGATTTTAAGTACTGGGTTTTCGTAGATTTGTCTTGATTCAATTTATATGATTAAGGACAGAGATTAAGACTTGATGGAGTGAGCTGAGCAAGATTTGGTGAGAATCTAGACTTGGAATTTGAATTTGTTTACTGGAAAGCCATGGCAAGAGGCAGAGGAGAGAGAGAAGACTATGAGAAGAACCCGGGTTTGCTCTCACTCTTGCAAGTTCTCTCATTCTTGGTTGTTTTGTTGCCGGGGGTCGTTATAGGATTAGCAACAAGCGCGCATATTAATCGGCATTTTGGTTCACAAACTGAGATTTACTCCTTCATTAATCACTTCTCCTCCAATAAGCCAAATGAGGAGGAAAATTGTACCATTGTGCAAGGTTGCGAGAAGGTTGATTGTTTGAGCATGGAGACGTTTCTTCAACCGAAGAATTTGACACACGATATGTCTGATGATGAGCTCTTTTGGAGAGCTTCAATGGTGCCCGGGAAGGAAGACTTTCCATTCGAGAGAGTGCCTAAAGTGGCTTTCATGTTTTTGAGTAGAGGACCTTTGCCCCTGATGCCATTGTGGGAGAGGTTTTTTCAAGGCCGTGACAAGTTTTTCTCGATTTACGTGCACGTGCTTCCAGGGTATAAGCTCAATGTATCTAGCACCTCTCCCTTTTATGGACGCCAAATTCCCAGTCAGGTACAAGGCATGCTAAATCATGTACTTTTTTGTTACTGATACTCTGCTGTTTTAATACTTCTCATTGTTTCTCTTGATTTATGTACTTATGTTATCACTGTATTGTTGTAGTTTCATATGAATGTTGTGAGGTTGACATGAAAATAATTGCCTGAGTTTGGGGTGGAGGGAGTGAACTGAATTTCTTAGCTACGGAAATTTTATTTGGTATAAATTTGAGTTCATTTATGTTTTTGTTCATGGATTGTAGACTCTTTTACTTGAAATTTCACTGATATGCTTTTTAGTTAAGTGATAGCAGTAGCCTCACTTGGAGTGAAACGAATTCATCATTCCTCTGGTGTAACTTGTTTCAGAACTATATATATTATCCATGTCTTGCTATTTTCCTCATCATGATCCTTAGATTTAGTTGTCATCATGTCAATAAGTTTTAGCATGGACCCAATTTTGGATACTTATTAGGTATTTTTTGTTTCCCATGGTGTTGTAACGCTGCCTTCTCAGCGTAATAGAGTTGCAATGGGGAGTTTCAACTGGATACCAGATGTTTGTGTATCAAGTAGATGGTTAGATTTAGATTTGTGTTTAAACTTGTACATCATGAGATATATCTACCTTTTAGGAATGTTCTTAATTGATCTTAGACAGTGGTGCATGGCTGCAAACAGAGAACCCTTAATTGTTCTGCAGCCATCCTTTAATCTATGAAGGTTGTGCAGACATAGTAGATGCTAATTCTTAGTAAGATTGGTTATTCTTTCTTGAAGGTACTTATGCAGAACTAAGTATCACCTAAGATACCATTGCCAACAGTTTAATCCACGCATTTCATGAATGGTTCACAGGTGCTTACATTTGTGTTTGTTTTCGTATCTGTTGTCATTGTTTTTACTAAATTGTGCCCTTACTGGCATGTTTTTAAAGGTTATCTTTTTCTTTGATTAATAGATTTTGGTAATTAACTACTCATTTCATATTTCCCCATGTGATGTTTACTGTGATTCTGTGAGTCTTATGTATAATCTACCATTCCTGGAGATAGTGTTGTATGCATTCTCGATGAATTATATGCTCCCTAACCTTAAACTTTTATTCTATTCAGCTTGTTTCATGGGGAACAGTAACACTAGTTGATGCAGAGAGGCGCCTTCTATCCAATGCCTTGCTTGACTTCTCAAATCAGCGCTTTGTTCTTCTCTCCGAGAGCTGCATCCCAGTCTATAATTTCCCTACTGTCTACAAGTATCTCATTGGCTCTAACCATAGCTTTGTTGAGTCGTACGATGATCCTGGCCGTTATGGACGTGGTCGTTACAGCCGAAAAATGCTTCCTGAGATTGAACTCTATCAATGGAGGAAAGGGTCTCAGTGGTTTGAACTTAGCCGTACGTTAGCAATTTACATAGTCTCAGAAACAAAGTACTACACCCTCTTCAGCAGGTATTGCTTGCCTGCTTGCTACCCGGATGAGCATTACATGCCAACTTACTTCAACATGTTCCATGGATCGCTAAACTCAAATCGGACTGTGACTTGGGTTGACTGGTCGCTGGGAGGTCCACACCCTGCAACATACGGGGGAGATAACATTACAGAAGATTTTGTACGATCGATACGAAACAATGGAGCACTATGTCAGTACAATTCAGAGATGACATCTATTTGTTACCTATTTGCTAGGAAGTTTGCACCAAGTGCATTGGAGCCATTGCTGGAGCTGGCCTCATCAGTGATGGAATTTTGATTCTTTGAGCAGAGAATTTTTTGTAGGACTTTTATTCTTGTCCAACCGTAGGGGTTTTGGCCAATCAGTTTTGCCTCTATACAAAAATGTACAGGTAGTTTTGGATAGAGAGTTTGGGTTCTCTATCATTGAGAGAATATGTTGGTTCTTCAATAAATTTTGGAATCCGCGAACTCCTTCGAAGAAGGAAAGCATCAATATAGAAGATCAATTTATTAATGGTACTGAAATCTTTTTGGTGAACCATCTGGTTTGTTTTGTGTTGGTGGGTTGCTTTGTGTATGCGCACGACAACAGAACATTATAAAATCTTTTAATGGATTGAGGACAAATCAGATTCCAAGTGATTTGATTGTCTTGTTTACCAAAGTGTGATCCATGTTTTCATACTGATTGTTAAAGCATGAAACTGAATCGACACAATGACACACATAACAATAAGAGATAGACACCCATGAAATTGAGCTACATCCACTGTGATTCGAACTTGCATGCAATAAAACAGGTTCACTGACCTAACCAACTGGACTAATCCATGTTTGCTACCTCAAATGTATTTTAAGACAAAAGAAAGGGATTATGACACAAAAGCTTTGTCTTAAACTCTGATAATAAACAACCTGTTTCCAATTGGGATTTAAGGGCTTCCTGGTTTTAGAGTGAGAAATAGCAGCTGAGCTTCTTCATGACCTCTTGAAGGGAGAAAACGACTTTATCTTGCATTTTTATCTAGATTTCATTTCCCATATTTTGGTTAGGTCTTGATGAGGCTAATGGGTCTACTCAATTCAAATTTCAATCAAGCTGTCCATGTGGGCTTGATTAAATTGATCTTTGCACATCCAAATCTGTTTTTAAGAAAGAAAGAAAACATGTTTCTGCATTAAATTTATTCATATTTGCACCATGATCTTTCTCAAATTTCATATCATATAGTTGGATCATGTTTAGGCTGGCTAGCAGATTCAATCGATTCAATCAATCTGCAATAGCAAGAGCAAATATCAACGTAACATTAATAAATCTGCAATAACAAGGCCATGTTTCAGTTTTGTACAAGCAAACCCGACAATTCTACAATGAGAAGCAAAATATTAGTCCGACGCAAGGCAATAATACATCTTAGATTCACAGACGTGGGCAATAACAAATCCTGTTGGAAAAGTAGGAGGGAGGGAGGTCTTTTATGATGCAGTATCATTAAATCTGCAAAAGCAAGAGCAAGAGCAAGGCCTAATACAAAATATATAGTCGGCTTAAAGGAGCTGAGTCAATGGGGCGAAAATGAAATATACACAAACTACAAACTACAAACTAAAAGTAAACAAAAAAAATACTGAAAATGACATAAAATGGATGAGCCATAAAGTTTGAAAAGGGTAGATAGAGTCACATAAATTTCGACTAATCAAAATGACGGTAACAAAACAATTTAAGATATTGGATAGACAATAATATAAATATATTAGCAGTTGAGTGCATATGCAGTAGCAAAGCACCATCTACTGAATCGACCCAAAATGCGTTTTACTCCTTGTACCATCACAATGAATCCGTGGTCACTTGATCAAGTAATGCAAAGGGATGCTACAGAGGCACAGCGCAAATTGTGCAAAAATGCAAGTCACCACGAAGAACCAGTTTCAAGAAAAACATTCAAACTACAAAACTGAACACCAGTCACCAGGATGTGATCACCTACCGTTCATCTTTAGGCTGTGAATCTCAATACTAATGCTGTGATTCATGAAGGCAGATTTAGGAAGAAACATTTTCCTGAAACATAGATTACCAAGTTCATAGTACAACGTACTCAAAGTCAGTCATCATTGGCCTACAAGGTCATCTCATATATTTAACATGCACAATACTTGACCATTGAAATTTAACTTTATTATCAGTCAAAGTATCTTTAATAACTATGTGGAACAAATAAATTATCCTGTTAATTTCTATAGAACATATTAAAGAGAATTAACAGTGAAGACGCAATTGAAGCCCCTTATACACCCAATCGAAGCCCCCACTCTTACTCAAGTGAAAACGCCACAAGCTTGTAGCATGGAGAGACACTTAGCATAACCACGATGTAGCATTGGCCAACTGAAAATCAGGACAGAAAAGTACTGGCATCTCAATCAATGACTTAATATCTAAGAATCAAGCAGCTGCTACCTGTTGTGTCATCTGAGGGGCTTCTGATGGTGATTGTTGTGATTCTATCCCTTGAGCAGATCCTGACAGAGGGTGCTGTGGTCCTAGGGTCTGAGAAGCTTCAGATGGTGGGTATGAAGCCGTCATGTGAGGGACTCCGGACGGCGGATGGTGTGGTACTGCTACATGGGGAGCGCCTGATGGGGGGTAATATTGGCCTGCCATTTGAGGGGGTTGAGCCGGATGGTGCTGGCTTGCTGCCATCTGTGGAGAACCTGTTGATGTTTGGTAAGTTCCTGCCATTTGATAAGGTCCAGATGGTGGCTGATACGGTCCAGCCATCTGACGGGGTGCTGACGATGGGTGATGTTGTCCTGCCATTTGATAAGGTCCAGATGAGGCCTGATATGGTCCAGCCATTTGAGGGGGTGCTGACGATGGGTGATGTTGTCCTGCCATTTGATAAGTTCCAGATGAGGGCTGATATGGTCCAGCCATTTGAGGGGATGCTGACGATGGGTGATGTTGTCCTGCCATTTGAGAGGGTGCTGATGGAGGCTCCTGTTGTCCTGCCATTTGAGGCGACCTCATTGGCTGGAATTGCCGAGGTCGTGCCTGTGCTGGTGTGTATCCCCACTTACTCATATTTAATACTCTCTGAATCTCCTCACCACGCCCAGCTTTTCCAAAAACCTCATTTACAAATTGCTGCAATGCTGGAGGAACACCAATGCCATACCTCACCATTTCTTCCAGTAAATCACGGCTTGGGTCAAATGCATCTTCATTGCAGAGCCCCCTAATCACAACATCATAGAAACTGGCATCTGGTTTAGGATCTTTTTCTCCCATTTTCTTCAAAATCTGTGCACAGTCCATTGCCTTCCCGTTCTTAATCAATTCATCAAACACCCTGTTACCAAGACTAGCAACCACTCGCAAACCAACCTCCGCCATTCTTCTAAATATCTTAAGAGCATCATCTATCCTCTCTACTTTCAAATATGCATCAATCAGAGTCCTATGAGTAGTGACATCCGGGGTCAACGCCTTTGAGGATAATTCTGCAAACAGTGTCTCAGCCTCCGATAACATCCCATTCTCACAATACCTAGCAATGATATTATTATACCCTGCAACATCCATAGAAAAAGGTCTCGAATTCACCTTTGTACCCACCTTCTTAAAGGTGGCAAGCGCCTCATCAAACTTTCCAAGCCCAAAACACTCATTAACCATTATGTTAAATGTTTCCGAATTCACAGCCTGGATAGTTGGCGGGGTGTGATTATCCAACATCTGATCGAACAAAGCCCAGGCCTCCTTCTTCTTCCCATGCTTAAGCAACACCTCCAAAAGAACATTACCAGTTGCCGTGGTCATCCTAAACTGCCTATCTAGCTCGGACTTGTATGACTCCATTGCTTCCTTCTCTTTCCCCTTATTGAAAAACCAATCCATAAATGTCGCATTCACAACCCCATCGTACGCCAAACACCTATCTTTAAGCTCATCAAAAAGCTCAACAGCCTTGTCAAAATTCTCCAAATGCAAGAATCCATTAATCAAATTATTATACACACCAGAATCAGCGCCGAGGTTCTTATTCAACATCTCTCTCAACAAATCCACAGCCTCACCTATCCTACCGGCATCGACCAATCCTTTAGTCAAATGCCGGTATGTCACCTGCGAGGGACTAAAGGGGGCATTTGCAAGTATATGCCGATAAACCTCGAGGCCCACATCAACCCGGCCATCATCGCAGTGAGCATTGATCAAAATATTATAAGATACAACATTTGGAACAATGTTCGATTGGTTGTAGAAGAAGTGGAAGAGGGCAACAGCGTCATTGTACCTCTTGGCACGGTACATGGCAGCAACGATGGCGTTGCAGGTGAAGACGGTGGGGCGAGTATTGGAGAAGACCGAGTGGCGTGCAACGGCGGAGGCGGCGTCGAGGTCACCGGCGCGTATGAGCGACTGGACGCGATTGTGGAGGTTGAGGCGGTGGCCCACAAGGGCCGAGGTGGTGTCGGGGAGGCGGGGCGCGTTGGGGTCGCGTGGGGGAGGAGGATGTGAGTCTCGCCGGAGGGCGTTTATCGGGGGCTCGATACGGAGGCGGCGCTTGCGGCGTCGGCGCTCAGCGGCGGCTTCTTCGGCGGAGGAGAAGGCGAAGGTGCGCGTGGCGGTGGTGGTACGATGGAGAGGAATGCTAGGGTTAGGGTTTTGGGGGGAGAGGGAGGCGAGGGATTGGGTTAGGGTTAGGGAGGGAGGGTTGGAGGGGCGGCGGAGAGAGCGGAGGAGGAGGCGGTAGAGTGACATGGCTGTGAGACAGTGAGAGAGTGGTGGGAAATGCTTAAACCCTAGCGAATTGGAAATGAAGGTGAAATGAAGGGAAGGGAGGCAGAGAGGGGTTTAGGTGGTTTTCTGTTCTACTTTGCTGCTTGTGAGAAGGTTGTGTGTAAGTTTATTTATGTTCGGGCCAAACCAAACTGAAGGAAAATGTAACCTAGAGTTGTTGGGTTGGGTTAAAAACTTGCCCCTAATTTATCAAAAAAATTTATTTTGCTAAACCCTAATTTATCTAATTAAAATAAAATTTTATAAAATTAGAAAACTTTTTAAAAAATTAGGAAAATACTCCAGCTCGAAATTTCATGTTTATGTGCCTTTAAATTATAACCTTATAGATTTTTTTAATAGGTATCGAACGCATCCATAAGACGTTCTCCAACTAAACAAAGACAAATAACTTTATAATTATTTGTTCTTGTGTCTCATAATTATATGGAAAGACGAGATTCGTAGCATCGTCTATGACTGCTGTTTATTGGTAACCA